CCACCTTTTTGTCGATGCCTTCCGGGGGTACCCGAGAATCCTGTTGTTTGCTGATTCACAGAGTCCGGAAAAGTTGCTTTGTAGCTCACAGCAGCTCATGCTTCCGTTTCCGCTCGGCATAAACAGACGGCCAACACAACCTTTGAGTCAGAATGAAATGCCACAATGTGTAAAGTGATGTCATTCCACCGTACACCTGTTTGAAGCCTCCTTGGAAGTCACAGGTTGTTGCTTTTTGTTTTTTAAGTAAAGCAAGCAGAATAGTGCTTCCTCCTATTCTTCAGGTATTCCACCAAGTTTCCAATGTTCAATTCTGCAGCTTGGTTTCTAGCAAAGGGATAGAATGGGAAAGAGTTTAAGGAGTAGGGGTGGGGGAGAAATTCACATTTAAAGCCAAACTCAGTGCTATTTTTCTAGAAAAAGAGGTGCCGGAGCTCACCATGAATGTCTCCCTTGCTGCGTGGTGAGTTCCTGCCTCCCCCCAAGGAAATAATGACACATGACAACATTATATTATGTTAATGGGCTAAAATTGGCCACAACTTTATTGGTTACAGGTAAGAGCGGTATTGGCTTAGGCATTGGTCCTATCAGACTATCCGGCTTCAGCCTGTTTGCATGAAGACCGGGAAGGGTTAACACCAACAGGGGGAGCCCTGCTGATGCACATCAACTAGGTACTCCCCCGGGGTCACCGCTCGGGGGCGTGCTTTAGGCCCTGACTTCCGTAGGCTTCAGATGAGGCAACGCCCCCCAGAATCCTTTACTGGACTACCCTTCAGTAAATGGGGGAGGTGATGGCGCTCCCCCCCAACACATCTGCATAACAATACCCCTACCAATGCCTAACAGCCAAAACCAGGAAAGTTGTGATGATTTGCTACGAGGTAGGTGAAAAACCAAATGGCCGGTGCCAATTTGCCAAGTGGAAAAAAGTCCTACCAGGCCCCTTAACGGTGACCAACTGAAGTCCATAGCAAGGTCGAAAGAGAACATTAAGGGCGGGCGGGTGGGAAACGTGAGCAGCTGTGCAGGCAAAAGCGGGAGATCCCGCGACCGTGCTTGCCTTAAGTGAGGCAAGCCACACACCCCGAGCCAGCCGATTGGCTGGCTGAGGTGATGACGCGGCCCCCGAGGATTCCCCCGATCACACGGGGCTGAAGCCAGCATCTGCGCGCATGTTAGGGGGGTGAAGCCCACAACCCCACCTCCTCCTGATGTCGGAAGTGGCTTTCTCTTATACAGTCGTACCTCGACTGTCAAATGTCCTGGAACTCAGACGTTTTGGCTCCCGAATGCTGCAAAACCAGAAGTGATTGTTCCAGTTTGTGAATGTTCTTTTTTTCAATTTTTTTATTGATTTTCCAAATTTATAAACAAACAAACAAACATAAATCCTAACTATAATTGTTCCACTATTGTTAACATTGTTAGGTGACTTCATCGAATCCCCCTGGCTGAGTTTCAATGTATATCAATGTAACAGTTTTCCACAACTAATTTCTCATAAAATTTACTTAATCGATTAACATCTTTCATTCTTTTCATATTAACTTTAGACATATTATTCTAGAACATCACATATTTAAATCCTAAGCCAATCTGGTATTTGCAAGTATTTCTGTTTAAGTTATCTTAGCATATTTAGCTAAATAGTCTTTAAATTTCATCCATTCATCCTGGTACTCCTCCTCCTTCTGGTCGCAGACTCTTCCGGTCAGGTCAGCTAGCTCCCAAAAGTCCATCATCTTCATCTGCCATTCCTCCATTGTTGGCACTTCTTGTGTTTTCCAATTTTTGGCCAACAAAACCCTAGCAGCAGTTGTGGCATACAAAAACAATCTAACATCTTTCTTGGGCAATTCCAAACCTATTATTCCAAGAAGAAAGGCCTCTGGTTTCTTAATAAATGTATATTTCAACATTTTTTTCAGTTTGCGAATGTTCTTTTGGAACCCAAATGTCTGACCGGGCTTCTGCAGCTCTGATTGGCTGCAAGAGCTTCCTGCAGCCAACCAGAAGCCACAATTTGCTTTTTGAATGTTTTGGAAGTCGAACGTACTTCCAGAACAGATTCCGTTTGACTTTCAAGGTACAACTGTAATGGCAATGGCACCCACCTGAGAGGTGCTGGAACTGAGTTCTGACAAGTTCCAGCTGCAGAAAAGCTCTGAGCAAATTTATCAAATCTGTGCTTTCTGAAGCAATATGCGAACCAAAAGACAGCCAGTCATCCTTTGAAATTCACACAGGAATGTGTAAAGGTAAAGGTAAAGGGACCCCTGAGCATTAGGTCCAGTTGTGGCCGACTGTGGGGTTGCAGCGCTCATCTTGCTTTATTGGCCGAGGGAGCCGGCGTACAGCTTCTGGGTCATGTGGCCAGCATGACTAAGCCGCTTCTGGTGAACCAGAGCAGCGCACGGAAGTGCCGTTTACCTTCGCGCCAGAGTGGTACCTATTTATCTACTTGCACTTTGACGTGCTATCGAACTGCTAGGTTGGCAGGAGCAGGGACTGAGCAACGGAAGCTCACCCCGTCACGGGGATTCGAACCGCCAACCTTCTGATCAGCAAGCCCTAGGCTCTGTGGTTTAACCCACAGCGCCACCCGTGTCCCACAGGAATGTGTACAAAAATGCTTATATTAGGGTGAAGTGCCCACATCAATGCATACACATTATTGAAAATAACACCAAATATTCACTCTATTAGAGAAGATTTGCTTTGCCGAAATGTGTGCATAGGCAAAATTGCATACAAATTCACACTGACAGGTTGATCAATTTTAATGAGGAGTTTTGTTTAGTTTTATTTTGCAAACCTATGTAGACATGTGGAGAACGGAAGTTAACCCTGGAAAAATGTAAAAAGCATTAGAAAAGACTGGTTTGGACATCCCTATTAAGGAGCGTTAGTGATGTATGGAAGTGAGAGCTGGACCATAAAGAAGGCTGATCGCCGAAGAATTGATGCTTTTGAATTATAGTGCTGGAGGAGACTCTTGAGAGTCCCATGGACTGCAAGAAGATCAAACCTATCCATTCTGCAGGAAATCAGCCCTGAGTGCTCACTGGAAGGACAGATCCTGAAGCTGAGGCTCCAATACTTTGGCCACCTCATGAGAAGTGAAGACTCTCTGGAAAAGACCCTGATGTTGGGAAAGATGGAGGGCACAAGGAGAAGGGGACGGCAGAGGACGAGATGGTTGGACAGTTTTCTTGAAGCTATGAACATGAGTTTGACCAAGCTGCAAGAGGAAGTGGAAGACAGGAGTGCCTGGCATGCTCTGGTCCATGGGGTCACGAAGAGTCGGACACAGCTAAATGACTAAACAACAACAACAACATTAAGGAGCATATGGTATTTTGCTCCCCACACCAATGCCTCAACGCCCCAAAATAAACTTGAAGAGCCAGAAGGGTTTGTGAAATGTCCACCTGCATTCTTGGTAGAGTCCTCACTCTGGTAAAATTTGAGTATTAGACCATTGGATTCTCTGCCGCAGGGAAAGCTGAGAGCGTTGCATGTTTGAAACTCTGGAAGTACAACTTTTAAAGCCTGCCTAGTTCCTCTGTTGCAAGCTGATTTACATTAACCACATCTAGGAATATAAAATAAAGAGCAAGCACTAAGTTATTTCGAGGTACAGATTTATGGATATTTTTATGCACAGAGTAAAAAGGGACAACAAGCAATCTTTTAAAGCAATTATACATTGTTATTCTTGCTGCAAACTATTGAATAATCCATAAACCAAACCTCTATCTTAACAAAAGGCATCTTTGTCATAAACGTTTTGAGTTTGCCTGGGCCACTTATGCATATACATTAGCTCGGGAAGAGAAACCTCAGCATTTTCTAGGTGGCTTTCATTAATGATAAAGGATTTAATTAACAAGTGAAAGCTTTGGTTAAATACTACAGCCTGCGATTGCCAACGCTCGTTCGACCTAGGCATGACCCAAAACTGTGTTGGACAAGCTGTCTCAAATAAATGTCAATACGTCCTTCCCTTCCACTTTCCACTGATCTCTTATGCTGTGGAAAATGTTATTGGACCCACACTGTCATGGAGGAGAAATATCGCTGAAATACTACATAAGGCACTCATTAAAGATGGCCTCCTTTGCACCAGGTAACATGTAGATTAGAGCTTTTCAGAGGCACACATTACTTTCTCATGCATGCACTTTTGGGTTGGGGCAACTGGCTAAAATGTTTTAAAATGTTTTAAACGGTTCTAATTTTGGTTCCTCTGTTTTGTTTTTGTTGGGTTGATGTTGGTTAAATGTTTAGTTGGGGTTGGCGGTTATTTTAATTTGGATATAACTGTAAACTGTTTATTGTTGTTGTTGTTGGTTTCTATTGATTTATTGGTTGGTTTGTTGCTAGTATAGGATATTTTGTTTTTTCATGTTTGATGCTTTGTTGTGTTTCTATATATGTTGGAAACTGCCCAGAGTGGCTGGGGAAACCCAGCAAGATGGGCGGGATATAAATTTCAAAATAATAATAATAATAATAATAATAATAATAATTTTGTTTGAATTTCCATTGTCTGAATTTACACTGAATTTCTCTTTGTGGTATGCCCAGTATTCAGGACATTGGTATTTAAAATGTGGGCATTTGTGGGCACGTCCTCATTGTGTATTGTAGGGGCACTAAGTAGGATCAACTGCAAGTGCTTTGTGACTTTGTTCAAGTTTTGAAGGACTTTAATCATCCTGACCAGCATCTTGAATGGGGCACTTAGCAGTCCTTGTGATTGCTTGAAAACGTGTTTAGATGCTTCTGCGTTTTCACACCTGCCAATAAATATGTTGCAGTGTGAGCTGAAACTTCCAGACTGATTTCAGTGTCAGAGAGCATCTTCAGCATGGATGATGATGGTGATCTTCCAGGAAAGGACACAGCCAGTACATGAGATCATAGAATTGTACAGTTTGGAAGGGACCACAAGGGTCATCTAGTCCAACCCCTACAATGCAGGACTCTTTTGCCCAACGTGGGGCTCAAACTCACAACCCTGAGATTAAGATTCTCATGCTCTACCGACTGAGTGATCTCAGCATTTGTATAATGTAATTTGTAATATATTGCACTTAAACGTGACCTTTTTGTATATTTGTGAAATACATGTCATTATGACTATACATGTTGAATTTGTGTCTGAAGATAGATGAGCTCTCAAAAGCGCCACTTGGGTTAACTTGGAAATTACATGAGGTCTGTGGGGAAGGGGGGAAGATTGAAGAACTCAGATTGGTTTTCTGAGTCAATCTGAAGTTTTGAACCTCTCATGAGCCGTTTTTCTCCTGCTCCCTGCCTCCAAATAAGAGTGATTTTTATTTAAGCTCTGTTCCATAAAGACGTCTCATGCCCAGTGGCCTAGAAATCGATGCATCAAATTCCAAAGAAACCGGTTATCTCCACGTGAAAACCAACCCAGGCTACACATCTCCCGAGTCCTACATAAATGCTCCTCAGCTTTATAACCTACACTGGAACTTTCAAGAAGCAGAAGGGTTTTGCAGGTGAATGCAACGTTGCAGAGTTTAGAAAAAAATATGGAGTCCAGATGGTGGAAAGTCTGCAGAGAGCATATGTTTCCCATCAACACTTCGCTGAATGCTTGTACAGGTCTCCAGTTGATTATGTCATCATATCATTCTGGCATGTGATCTGAAGGGGGGCCAGTGAGCCACCACTTAGGAACGTTCCATATGCCACTCCAGCCCCTGTAAGGAAGAGCAAGATTCAAGCACAGCACACTTAAGACTTTTGCCCTAGATCCTTGCTGAATGTGCAACTCGCCACAGTTGATTCTGAAGTATGGACATATTTTCTGCATTAATGTTTTGGAAGTAATCACACACCCCAGATCACAACAGTTCATGGTAGGCAAAACAAGGCATCTCAGGAGAAGAAGAAGAAGAGTTTGGATTTGATATCCTGCCTTTCACTCCCTTTAAGGAGTCTCAAAGCGGCTAACATTCTCCTTTCCCTTCCTCCCCCATAACAAACACTCTGTGAGGTGAGTGGGGCTGAGAGACTTCAAAGAAGTGTGACTGGCCCAAGGTCACCCAGCAGCTGCATGTGGAGGAGCGGAGACTCAAACCCGGTTCCCCAGATTACGAGACTACCGCTCTTAACCACTACACCACACTGGCTCCCATCTCAATCCTACTCAGCATCTGATAGCAAATGGCCAATTCTGCACTGTCCAAAGGGTGGATGGACACATTGCTATCTGGCAATATAGATTTCCTTCCCCACATTTGTAATGCCTGTCTACCAGATCACCCCTGTCCATACATGCTTGTTGACACTCAAAGAACTCTGAAAGGTTGGTGAGACAAGATGTCCTTCCTTTTGCAAAAGCCATGCCTTGTTCAGCAGGTCTTGTTCTTCTACGTGCTTAATAATTTGACTTTTAATCATGCTTTCCACTAATTTGCCTCCATTCTCTCAGCCTGACTCCTGATCCACTTTATATATGTATATATAAATCAGCACTACACTGGCTACTTTCAAACCGCTTTGGTATGGTGGCTGGTTTGGGGACAAATAAAGAATTGTTCATTGATGAGGAGGGTTGACTGAGACTAAATCTGGCTGATGTCTTTCTATAGACCTGGGCATAAGCTAGTTTTCATGAAAATTATCAGTTAAAACAACATTTGCTCTTTCCCCAAGAGCCTTTCGTACATGGCCTCTTCATATCCAAATTGTAGCTGTGAGAGCCAGTTTAGGTGAATAAAGTCCTTAAATTATATATTTGCACATTATTATCAGGTAGCTCCCAGTGGTTTACAATGGTAGCTCTGAATATTCGAAATAGATGGAAACTGCCTTATTTATTCACCTAAAATATGTATACATCTAGTCCCCTGAGCATACAGATAGCAAGTTTTCCAGAAGGCAATATCCTCACCTCAAAAAAGGCATAGTTTGAGCAAGACAGAAAGCTTACAATCTTCGCTTCACTTTCTTTAGCCCCAAACAAGTCTCACTGCAGACTTTTCTGTGCCTTCTTTGAGTCTGAGGTGAAAATTTCACAGGATTCCATTAAGTTAATTGCCAGGGTGCTTTCTAGCCTATAAAAACGCAGTGTTCACGTCTCCTCACATCTTCGAATCAATTACTGTTCTACAAAATTAATTTGGTTAAAAGTATGCAATAGAAATTTGCCCAGCATATGTCGCCTCAGGAAATATAATTTTCATGTGATGATATACAGTGTACCCTGCAAGGGAGTGAACCACATTTGCTTTAGTGTGGAATGGTGCCTGACAGACATTTTAAGCAAACAAGAAAGTGAGATATATATGCACACACACTAACACATACAGGGTTCGGTGGTAGGTGTAGATGAGGTTTCTAGGCATCATCATAGTCATAATAATTTTTTTATTTGTACTCCACCCATCTGACTGGGTTTCCCAGCCACTCTGGGCAGCTTCCAGCAAACATAAGAACACAATAAAACATCAAACATAAAAAACCCTCTCCTATACAGGACTGCCTTTAGATATCTTCTAAAAGTTTCATAGTTATTTATCTACTTGACATCTGGTGGGAGGCTGTTCCACAGGGAGGGTGCAACTACCGAGAAGGCCTTCTGCCTGATTCCCTGTAACTTCACTTCTCACAGTGAGGGAACCGCCAGAATGCCTTTGGATAGAAAGCCTGTCAGGGCTGAATAATGGAGATGAAGAAGCTCCTTCAGGTATACAGGCCCAAGACCATTTAGGGCTTTAAAGGTCAGCACCAACACTTTAAATTGTGCTTGGAAACATACTGGGAGCCAGTGAAGATCCTTTAGGACTGGTATAATATGGTCCTGGCGGCTGCTCCCAATCACCAGTCTAGCTGCTATATTCTGGATTAGTTGTAGTTTCCAAGTCACCTTCAAAGGTAGCCCCACGTAGAGCACATTGCAGTAGTCCAAACAGGAGATAACTAGAGCATGTACCACTCTGGTGAGACAGTCCGCGGGCAGGTAGGGTCTCAGCCGCCGTACCAGATGGAGCTGGTAGACAGCTGTCCTGGACACAGAATTAAGCTGCACTTCCATGGACAGCTGTGAGTCCAAAATGACCCCCAGGCTGTGTACCTGGTCCTTTAGGGCCACAGTTACCCCACAAAGTTACCGCATTCAGTTACCCACACCTGCTTGCCCCCTGTCCCCCAGAAACGGCACTTCTGTCTTGTCAGCATTCAACCTCAATCCATTTACTGCCTTGCATCCTCCATCTGGCACCAGACACTCACACAGGACTCTCCAGACTCTCAGATGGACAGCTATATATTTATAAAGAATTCCATGCAATTAGCAAGCCTGATTGTGCAGAATTTATGGTCACATGGAAAGCTTTTGTAGCCTCATGCTCACTTTCCACTGTATTTGCAGAGATCAGGGGAAGGAATCGATGCAGACCTCTCCCTCTCCCCATATGCACTCTCTGCCCGGAGCAAAAGCTACACTTGCTATGCTGCTGCTTGTTTCTGATCTACTTGGACTGATGGCTCACTGTCCTTCTTGCTGTCTTTCCAAGACGGGGATGCAATTGCTTGTGAAAGGCCTGATTAGTCATCACTGCCATGTATTTAGAACAGGCCTGCAAGGAATGTGACTCATCAGGCTCAACACAGCCCACCAGCCATGTATCGTGGCCTGTCAGGTACTTGACAACCCACTCTCATCCATTGGTGTTCATGCAATCCCAGGCAATCGGCAAAGTCAGGCAGTTAATTGACTCCCTGATAGGCCATCATCAGAGGTGGGGGATGATGCTCTTCCTTATGGGTCATAGGTTGTGGACTTGGTCTAGGATGCAAAAATGTTGGGGTGGGGAGTTTGGAAATGTAAGATTCAGAGTAGAAAATAACTACAGACATATGAAACATGAAATTTATTACGGTCAGAGACCAGCTTAAGAAACACAAATGGAACTACAATCCCAATAGCAAAACAAACATTTAAAACAATATACAACAATGGATTTTAAGTTTAAAAGTGCGACATAGTACCAACATATATTCCATTATTGTTGAGTTTTTTGGTTTGTTTAGGGGGAGGTTTCTTGTTTTGCAGAAAACCTAGAGTTACAAGTGTAGAAAATAAATTCTTCACATCCCAATAGGCTGGATGTGATCCAGGCAGCCTACATAATTGCATAAGTCATAAAAAGAAAGTATTGTTTAAATTGCCTTTTGCTGCTGTATATAAAGCCACCAATTAGAAACAATAAGGAAGTTATCTGTGCATTTCCAAATTGTTTGGATTCTTTACTACCAAAGCCTCTCTTTTTTCTACTCAGGGATCTATACTCAAGGACTGTGTACAGAGAGGGTGCTGACTGCTGAATGAGCACTTTTTGAAAGGTCAAGAAACAAAGAAATCTCAGCTCATGCACGAGGCCTAAATAAACAAATTGTCCTTCCATGCGACAGCTTGAAATACATGCATACATCTTCTAGGTAATTCTTTTAGGGATCCAATGGAACACAGTGACTCACAGACTGAGCTATGGAACAAGACTCTCTGCCACAAATTCATTATGATGGTGGCCTTAGGCATGCTACTGTTTCTCAGCCTCAGTCCCCCCCCAGGGGCATAGCAGGGGGGCAGTGGTGCCATGACCCCGGGTGCCCAATTTTTGAGGGGGTGTAAACCAGATGCCCCCCAGGTGACCACAGTGCAGCCCAGTGGGAATGGGGTTGCTCTGGCAGCATCGGTGGTGAGGGCTGGGTTGGTGCTCCCTGCCTGGCATGCGCCCCTGTGCCTGGCACACACACATGCCCCGGGCACCAGCAACCGATGCTACACCACTGTTTCTCACCTCTGCAACTTGGGGGATATTTTCTGACTTACATTATATGGTTGATATAGGGACAATGCATGAGAAGTGCTTTGAACACTTGAAAGCCCTAAGCAAATGGTGATGGTGACAATCTGAGCTGCTCTCAACAGTGCTAGTGTAGGTATTCAAAACAGGTTCATTAAAATTAGTTTTGCTAACTTTTGAAATTCTGTGGTAGTGAGATTGCTGAGTTATGGGACACCC